CGCTTTGGGTTTGTCGACTATGTCAGTGTCTCCGATGTCGTCACATCCCACATCCTCAGAAGACATGGTGAAGATACTGAGTGCCCAGGCACTCAGAGCAGAGGGCACAGTCATGGCGCAAGTCGAACCCACAAATTGCAGATATTGGTCCTTGAGTCCGGATTAAATACATTCCGGTGACTTCCAGAAATCCTTCGGTGTTCCCCGGGCGGTGGGCGTCACCCCGAATGGAAATGGGGAAGATAGTTAACAATGGATTTTATTTTTAGAAATGGCTATTCAGGTATGGTGCTGCGGCGGCGGTATGATGAGAGGCGATATCCTACGGTTTCCATACCGTGGCGATAATACCGAGAAATATTGAAGGGGTCGGTATGCTCATCACGAGAACCGAATACCGCACGGTATGATGAAAATACCGGTATACCGCAACGCCCTAATCTCCGTCCTGTTGCCTTCGAATCAACGGCAAGCCTTGCGAGACGTTAGCTTCGGGCCTTTGTCTTGTTGGAAGATGAAGCCAACTTGTCGCATCTCGTAATGATCGACTCGAGCGAACACGTGATCGCCCAGGATACTGGTGTACAGTTCGGCGTCGATGCCTCCATCGATGCCACCCATCCAGTCGACGCCTTGGGTCTTCATACATTTGCCTACACTGCCGAACTTGGCCGTACCTTCAACATGCTTAGATCATGACGATTAGAGATTAGAGCCCAAACATATCGAGCAGCGATTGAAGTTCGCTCGCAAGTACCAGCATTAGACGATACAAGATTGGTTCGGCGCGAATTTCTCTGACGAAACCAACATCAATCGTCTGGGTTCTGACGGGCGCATTTGGGTTTGGAACGTGCCTGCTACGAGTATTCAACTTCATTTTAAGAAATCATCGCGAGAGCTTGTGCTTACCCGTCTGTCGCAATGGAGAAATTTGACCACCGGGCCGTGATCCCTAAACTTTTTCTGAAGGGCTTAAGTGCGAAAGACATCCACGCGGCAGCAGACGTTGGGAAATGATGCACCGAGTTATTCGACCGCGAAAAAGTGGGTGGCAAATGTTAAACGCGGGGAAAAGTGAGCTTGGAAGACGAACCCCGATATCATCACGGGCGATCGTCGGGTAACCACACGGGTCGTCGCACAACGTCTTGAAATAGCGAAAGAGCGTGTCTTTCGCACTTGAGCCCTTCAGAAAAAGGGCAGAAAATGACGGCCCGGTGCTCAAATTTCTCCATGTGGAATGACGGCTACGCCCGAGCTCTTCAAATGATTTGTTGAAAGTGAACCACTGAGAGTATTGTCATGAAACTGTGTACATATAATCATCAGATGTTAAGCTACAACGTACAGGGTTGTGCAAAAGTTCTTCCCTTACGTAAGAGATAGAGGTTTCCTGAATAAAGGGAAAACATGTAGGAAAGGGGGAGATGCTAGGATCGAAATTGTGATAATTTGGGCCGACATGTACCTTTGAGAGGCCCTTGGCCAATCGCTAAGGACGATATTACGAATCAAGAAGCTCAAGAGTTGGCGGCTGTCGAACTATTTGCCGACTCGCACACTGAAATGAACTGAACTCGCACACTGAAGAAATGAGAGAATTTAAAATAAAGTTCTTGTTATCCTATAAAATGAAAGAGATTTCAATCAACTTTCTCTAGACACGTTTCATGTATTAGAAATGATTAGAACCACCTTCCCCTCCCTTTTGATGATCCCTTCATCGCAGAGACGTAACAATAGATAATTAGCAAAAAAATTCGAGGTTTTGCTTGAGGAAATGAAGTTGGACACGGTTAAGTCTGGAAAGTGAACGTGATGTTCCCTTCTTCCGCCCTCCGGCTAATTGCTTTGATGGATTTTTCCCACAGAATCCCTTGACCTATCCGGTTGTGTCGGTTGCCTTCGCCAATGTTCCACCTCCAGTCTTCCCGATGATGCTTCGAAAGAGAGCCACGGAGGCTCGGTCAGGTGAGTTTCTTCTTTCCCAACTCTGAAATGCAAGTCGGGCTGTTGTGACACTCAAGTACGTGAGCTTCCCGCAAATGCACATTGAGAACACAACGTGTTAATTAGTTCAATGATGACAGGAAGCGGGTAAGAATGGTATGCGACAATATTCAGAAGTGCGGTCCCAGAAGGCTTCTCTCGCTTCCAAATAAGAGCAAGAGCAGCGCAAAATGTCTTTTTTTTTTAAAGCAAAAGGATTCTTCCAAAAGTTTTGCTTCTTTGATAAGTCCGGAGACTTATTAATTTGCTTGAAACATCACACACTTCATGAAGTTTCTTCCATTACCTGAAATGCATGGTTCTATTCTGGTGAAACAGCGTTGAAAGCACGTTTCAAGGTATTGTGTGGTGCGTGTGATTCACACCTGGTTCATTTCATCATGAGGCTGCTCCTCGAACATGCAACTTTTTCCATTCAGTATTTATCTTCCTGCGAGAGAAAGAAGCATCGTCGAGCTAAATCTGGAGAATGTGATGGGTGAAACAGTGTCTGGAGTCTAGGTTCTTCTAAAAACGGTTTTGTTCTGATGGTTGAAGTTGCCTGGTGCATGTCCTGGCGAAGTGGGTTCCTCGTAGTCCTGGTTTTTGGTCGCTGTTCTCTCTGAGCTTCAAACATTGCAGGCATGCGGAGATCTGCATGCGAGCCTCTAGTATGGGCCTCATCAAGATCGAAGAACTTCAATAAGTCAGGCGGTGAAGTGAAACAGCGTCTCTCAATTGGGTGTTGTGAAGGTAGAATTTCTTCGCATGATGCCATTCAGGCGTTTTGACCTCATGCTCATGACCTCATGCCATCTAAATTCTTCAGAATGAATCAGTGAACTGTAGAAAGGTTTGGTCCTTGGTCTTCAGTCGGGCGATGCGTGATAAAAAAAAGAAATCCTCCATACCTGCACAACTCATCGCTACAATTTTCGGACACGAGGCAACAAATTTTGCAATTTAGTCAACCTCCAGGAACTCGAGAGAAACTACAGGATTAAAAAACAGTAATTGAAACATATTTAATGCATCACTTCTAAAACTTTCGGAACAAGCCTCGTACAGTAAGCTTATGGAAATTCTCATTAGCTGAAATTAGGATTTGTTTCAGAAAAATGCTGAAAACAAACCATTTCACGCCTAACAACGGGAATTCGAAAGAAAGTGCCCTTCGCTTATACAAGAGCTGATCTCACCTTAGGAAATGCATCTATGTCCTTTTACAGGTCAGAGGTGGATCATCCCAAGTCGGATAATGAGGAGACAATGACCACTCCAAGTGCAGCCGAAGAGGTAAGAGAGTCTGTGTCCACGCAACGTTTTTTGCCTCGAGTTGGAAACATCCTTGGAACAAAGCAAAACTTAAAAAAGAGATTCCTAATTCTCATGATGAAATTCTATTGGCTAAAAAGAAAACTGAGGCCCCTGGCGAAGGTAAGTCCTTCCATTGAGGTTTATTTCTCGTGTTCAATGTAAAGGTGCAGTCCTTCTTCGATTGGTGTGATTAGTTTTCTTCATTTTTATGCCTCGTGCAAATGCATACGATATTCTTAATACGTGTTCTTCTTACTGAGGATGTATTAAAGAAAATGAACACGGAATATCGATGGCCATGTCACAGGCAATGATGTCCATTTCGTGGATGAACCTTTGGGTTTTTCCACGCGGTCGAATGCATGACGTTTCTCAGCAACGCTGGTGTTTGACAACTCAAGCAGCCCAAACACAGAAAGTTCTCTAATAGCTTCTAATATTTCCTCCAGTGCAGATTAAACGGCATTAGCTCTATTCAGCCTCTTGCGATATGATATGACAGGAGAGGGTGGCAGGGACAATCCATGATTGCACTGCGACTCTGGATCACCAAGGAACACTCACTCCCCTCTTCCCTTAGTAGCATCGGAGATCATTTAATGGTAGGCGTCCTAAGGGGGCACTCTTGTAAGTCAAGATGTTCCTCAAACAGAAAATTTAGGCGATGATGTACCTCACACATTCAAATGAATTCAGCAATTATCGAAAAGCGCTTTTCAGTACTGGCAGTATTAGCTACGAAAAAACGGAACTGCGAGAGACAGCCTGCAGAAGGGCAGAAAGTCCATTAAATCGTCTGATTCGGTTCATTTGTTTTTCCTGGAAGGTGGTGAAGAAAGTTTTTTTTTGTGAGAAAATGCTTTTCGGTACTTGGCGTACTTATTCAGCTATGGATGCTGTTAGGAGGAGGAAGAGGAATGAAGGTATACGTCACTTAGTCACAGTAATCCCTTTAGTGGATGATTATTATTCAATATGTTTGCCTAATCTAACTGAATTGATAGTGAATTAGTTACCGTATCTACCATTTCATGACTGTATCTGGGCGGATCCTGTGGTTTTGAACGAGCGTCTCATGAATGAATCTACAAGTGCGACGATCAAAAATTGATCGAAAATCGAACTTACTATCACATGCTAGCTGAGCAAACATTGAAAGAGATAATTCGGTATTGACAGTATTTTCAGCACATTTTCATTTTCCAGAACTGGTTGCCGAAATGAAAGCACTTTTTAATTGAGGTAAGGGCATCTGTTGTCCATTTTTCGAAGTTTCTTCGGTTGTCTCAGTTGTCAGAAATGTACTTGAGTCGAGTGCACAGGCTTCTATCACAAGAGGATATTTCCTCATGCTCATTGGCATTCATGCATTTATTTATTAGAACCCTTAAGATTGACTGGTGTTTTAGCTGTGAATGTATCGTCCAGACGCGTATTCTATTTTCTCTTCTCTCTTAGGAAGGTGCTTATCTGGTACTTCCCAAAATGACTCTCGTACGGAAGTCCCCTAACTTCCTTGATGATTCTTGTGACCCTTCTCTGTACTCCCTCGAGCGCCAACAATTCTCCTTTGTAAGCCTCCAAAACTGGATGGAATATTCCAGTTGGGGTCTTATCAGCGCCGCATACAACGGAAGAATAACGCACGAAGTCGTACTTGCAACCAAACGACGAATGAAACCTAGCATCCTGTTGCATTTGGCCACCGTCGCTTGTGCGTGCGAGGAAAACTTGAGGGTCCTACCGTTTTTTCGATAGACGTGGAGAACTTTACATTTATATTTATAAAACCTCATGAACCAATTCTTGCTCCATTTGTCCATAAGACTGAAATAACGCTTGGCTCTATCCCTTGTTCGTTATGCATACCCTCCACTGTTTTTGCTTAACAGACTCAAGGTTGATGAGGCTGGCCCATAGGAGCCTGATGTGAACTACCTGTGATATGTACTTCATGGACTAGTAGTTCTGGGAGAGAGAGAGAGCTAGGCATCCTATCTTTAACTCACTGAACACACCCACCCATTTTTCGGACCTAGTTTTAAACCTGGAAAAAGGCTTGGACATTGTCCAGGTCTTGACCTGTACGAGCCGTCACATTTCCATTCGAATGGAACTCTTATCTACATGGTATTAATCATTGAACAAAATGCAAGATCAATTAGCGTTTAGGTAATTTTCATGCGCGATTCGAGAAACCCACAATTTCTGCATTCTTGATTTTGTATAGTTTAAAGTGGGGGCATTACATTCACTGATTTATTGATTATGGATTCATTGTCATGATCGCTTTGTTTTGACAAAACGATATCATTCTTTCACCAACAACGACTTTGAGTTTCGTGGGTAGAAAATTTACTTAATTATCCTTCACCAGATCATTTAGTGGCATGAGTAGCAAGAAGTTAGTTACATCAGTCTTCGAAGAACTTCTGCCTGGTCGCTACCGAGCCCGTGATGGTAATCAGGATGAGAGAGTAGAACTTTATTTCCAGTAGATTCATTAGCGTTTCGATACAAGATCCACAACATTTGAGCCAAGCCAAATTTTTTAATTTAAAACGCCGGGTTTAAGCCTGTTCACTAATATCACCACCATTGAAAAATGTTTTCACGGACGGGAAGTTGAAGTCATAAGAACTAACACGTAGGAGGAAGAGAGTGCCATGATATTATCTATCTTTTCCTTTGGGAAAGGAAGAATCAATTTCTCAGAAACACAAGACAATGAGGGTATTCTTTCTATATAGATTGACTGATCTCATAATAATATGTTCTAAATTTTTACTTATGGCAGAGCATGTCATGTGTACTTAATACCGTCTCAGAATTCCTTAGCTTTCATTTATTTGCATCCAGCTGGGGAATGAGAAGAAGGTGTTAGAAGAACGGATTAAAGAAATTAGGAAGTGACTGAAAGCCCAGGTTGGGACTGTAGGAATTTTTTAAAGAAAAGATTTCAAGAAGTTGGTGCATTCAGAGATGGAAATGGATAACCGCGTGATAATAAAAAGAGCACATGAGAAGCAGAGATGAGGTCTCTTATCATGTCTCATTCCTTTTTATAGGTTTTTTAAATTTTTGGTTCGAGATGAGAAAATGACATGTGATTCCAGGTAGAAAAGCAGCAGCAGCAGCTGTGGAATATATTGACCGTGGAGAAGAAGACAAAAGATCTTGAGGAGCAGCTAAAGACGGCGGAGAATGCATACAGAAATGCAGAGCGAGAAAAACAGAAGCTCGAGAGAGAGCTCACCACGATGAAGATAGAGCTCACAGAAGGCAGAGATCAGGTCTTTTGTTCTTTCCTATTCCCATTTTTTCCCTAAAGAATTTGAGGTGGGAGAATGACATATGATTCCAGATAAAAAAGCTGCAGCAGGAGTTGTTAATTAAGGAGAAGAAAGCAAAAGACCTCGAGGAGCAGCTCAAGAGGGAGCACAATGAGTATGGAGAGACGGAGGAAAAAAACAGCACCATTGAGAGACAGCTCGATGACAGCAGTAATCAGGTCTCACATTCTATTCCGTTCACAATTATTATAGTCTCTTGTTGTAGTGCCTCGGAAGTACGAGATTGGGTTCTGATAGGTTGCTGAGTTGCGTCCACATTTGACCATTCTTGAGGGGAAGTCCGTACAAGTCGGTGCAGGGAACACAGAAACAGCCATCCCAACTCTGACGCCGAGGCAAGATGAAGCAGTCTTTCAGCAATCACAGACGACTCAGGTATTCATGATTTAGATATCCTCTAAAATATACTTAACCAAAGTTTGCATGATAGGTTGGTTTGACTTCCTTACTAGCTCCCATCACCACTTAAAATGGTATCAATTTGGTTGAAAGGTGATTTGACGTATTTGTAGCTTCCATTCTTGAGGACAGACATTTTTTCTCTCAATAAAATATCACATTTTCTCTAATCTGAAGGGTTTGAAAAAGTTTGGTTAGGTTAGGATACGATGAAGTTATTTTGAATTTGAAGGAATGAGTTTTATATCAGAATACATACTTCCAACAGTTTTGAGGGAAGGGAAATGCAGACCACCGTGATAAAATGAAAACAAAAATACAATTGAACTGAATTCATAAAATCAGGCAAAGCCTATTTGCACTAATAACGTCATGTCATGAATCATGCATTGAAACATTTTTGCTTGATTTTACGGTTCCCAACTAAGGTTCACCGATTACTTCCAAAATGATGTTCTATCTAAGTTTTTGGCGATGCAGAACGCAATAACTGGAAGTGCCATTTGAATATAAAATTTTTTAACCTAACCTAACCTACCTAATTTTAAACACTTCACATTTGGATGATAATGATGCATTTCATGATAACAAGTGAACCCGATTCCATGCTTAATAATTTCGTAAAAATCAGTTTAAGGCCAAAAAATTGTCAAACTTAACCATAACTTAGCCTAACTAAACTTCTTGTAATTGCTGATACAAAAAATGATATTTTTATGTTTGGCAATGGGCAAAGTGTTTATAATTGAAAGAGTGCAATCTCGTGCTTGCATAATACCCCCTATGTACCTATAGCACAGAAGCACGCCACTGCGTTAATGTCACCGATGTGTAAAGCCCCGCCTGTTGCTGAAGTGATGATGTGAACACCAATAATCGCTTTCCCAGCTGTCTTCAGATGCACCTACGTAATCGAGATTTTTCTTCATTTTCTCGAAAGCACATTGAACAACACGAGCGTGCTCATGGGCACACCCAAGGACGCTTTGCCTGAAATAAAAATCTGGAATAGTAATGATATAGGGAGCTAATAAGACCATGAAATTGCAGGCTTTTTTTGTAGTAGCTTGATGTCATCAAAGATACAAGAACAATCTAAAAATAAATTGGTAGGGATTTTTGTCAATACTTCCCCTCTGGTATTTTATTTCTTCTCTTAGGAGAAGCTGAAATGCCGAACTAAGATCACCACATGGAATGAATTGATCGCCTTCATTAAGGAGAACCAGCAGAGCAACCTCGTCATCATTCATGTCTATTCGCACAAAAGCAATGAGAAAATTGAAGCGGATGAGATCGAGAGATCAATTGTTGAAAGAATTAGTCATGCCATCTTCCGGGAAGCCGATCTGCATGCGGACTGGATGAAGGAATTATTCTGGAATTTCAATAATAGGAAAAGGAGCGAATATTGGATTATTGTGATGTCACAAACACCAGCGGATTTGTGGACCATTTGCGACCTTACTTCCAAATGGGGTTGCATCTCAGTGGCGCATCCCCATTCCAAATTTGTTGGGGGTTGCATTGGTATCCCCATAGGGAAAAAATGGCACTGATGGGTGAGCCTTCAATTGGTGCAAAATGGATTCCCCTGACTAGAAAAATAAAATGAGGCAATGCGAAGAAAATTTAATTTTTTATTTGTTACATGAAAATGCATGAATAGTCGCCATTACCTTTCTTGAACCCCTTCCCGTAACAAAATTCCACCTCCTCGTATTCCTCTCTGAGAAAAATAACAGGAACGAAATTGGGCAAGTTTCTTCCTCTCTCAACACAGAATCACTCCAGCAAATTTGAAGCTCCAACTCGTTTGTGAAAGATGTGAATTTCATTCCGCGTTTTTTTTTCTTCCCCCCTTTGGGAAGCCTCTCTTCTTGAGATTTTTCGGAGAAAAGAGACCAACCATGAGAAAGATTATGAAACGCGCCCTTTTAGTTCTTTGTGGAAGCACCATTTGTCTCCGGAAGAAAGATTGTGAGTATCTTCGATTGGGACAACACTCTATTCTGTCCTGTAGTTTATAGCGTTAAGACCGGCGATTCTCGCAGATTATCGATGCGCATTCTATTCCTCAGTTGCCGCTGATACCTCAGCTACATTTGTTTTTCATAATGGGAATTTATTCGAGAGTCACGGGTTGGCGGAAAACCGATTTAAAAAAAAAGTCAATCCTGTGCCCCAGAATCCTCTTACAATATTTTCGCAGTCGCCTTTCAGAGACGCGATCTGTGACGCCAGGAGAGAAATCGACAAGCATCGACTGGCAAATGCCAGAAAGAGAAATACTAATAATTATAATAATTGTCATATTTATAGTACTTCTGTATATACGCCGAGATATTGAAGGAGATGCAGAGGCCCGAGAATGCCACCAACTTTCTTTCCTTCGCCAAGAATTTCAGGACGAAAGTATTCTAACGCTTTCAAATGAATTTTTCGCAGGCTCCAGTCATCCAATTGACGCATTGAAAACGCTTCACGAAAAAGGATAACTTTTTTTTTTAGGTATCTCCAACCATTTTTTCTTAAGTGCCTCAAATATTCCAGCACAAGATATCCTAAATGAATAAGAAAGATTTCGACCGTGTTCAAGAAGAAAATTTCAAGCAATAGTTCAACCGGAATAACTTTTTTTTTTACTTGAAGAATGAAAAATCTCAGTGAAAAAAACTGGTTCTTGATACTTCTTACCCTTTGTTTTCGCAACTATTTTGAGTTCAGGACGCATTTTTATATATTATCATGATACTCTTTTCTTACAGTTATTATTGTCAGGTCACGAATCCCGATATTCAAAGGTACCCCAAAGCTATCACCCGATGCAAATCGTGGGAGAGACAAAGGAGTAACAGCCCTCGCCGGTTCACGGAAAGAAGATTCCTTGGGAAGGGATGGATTTGATGAAATTGCTGAAAAAATTCGCTGAAACTGTGTCAATCGGCAGAATCGCTTCCGCGATTCTGCCGATTGACACAGTTTCAGCGAATTTTTTCACGCATACAACTGTCGTGACAACGGGGACAGGGACTCTATTCGCTTTTTTGCTTTGAAACTCGTAAGGTTGTGCTGAGAGACTTTGTGCCAAATTTCCTTGTTACCTGAATCCTACGAGAATCCTTGTACTCGTGATATGTGTAGAAGTGTAGGTCTGGATGAATGGAATCTGTGTGAGACCTGGTCTGAAAATAGGAATCCTTGCCCCTGGTAAATTGGTTCCGTATCGACCATTACGAACCTTCCCAAGGGAATAACCCCACTCTGTTGTGACGTTAAGTTTTGCCGGTAATATCTCAAGTCCATCATCTTGTTTTCGTACTAGCGGCCACGCCAGACGAGACATCGTCGCAGATCCGAGGAGAGATGAGTCTCGCCTGGGCCACTGTGCCCTTTGCATCTCACGAGTACCAAAATCTCTTCCGAAAGTCTCTCTTCGCCATTATTACGGAAGCCATTATTATTACGGACGCCATTATTATTATCACGGGGAAAGGTTCGAGTGAGGGTTTTTCTCAACACTCAGAACAGCCGAGAGATAACGTCGTCCGAACTCCACCCCTGTCTTGTTTAACAAATAATCAAGTCTGCACTCCAGTCTACGTCTCTCTCACCAAGCCCTATACAGGGTATGGCAAAAAAAAGACCGACTACTTTCAACATAAATACATTCCCTCCCAATAATTTATTTTCAAGAAACTTTCTCATTTCATATATGAGTATGTTTCCAACTGACACCTTAAATTTCACCCAAATTTGTCGCGCCGTAGCAATTCCATCAGCAACAATTGAAAAGAAGTCGGACATTGAGAATGAACAAGAGCTCCCGCCGGCGGCGGAGCGGAGGACACACTCGCGCCCCGTCCCCAGGAGGCGGCAAAGCAGGAGGAAGGCGGGAGGGCTGGCCCCGCCGGCGGGAGCTCTTGTCCAATCTTAATGTCTGACTTCTTTTCAATGATTGCTGATGGAATTGCTTCGGCGATACAAATTTGGGTGAAATTTGCGGTATCGATCCGAAACATACTCATATATGCAATGTGGAATTTTCGCGAAAATAACTCCATTGGGAGGGAAGATATTCAGGGTGAAAGTCGTTGGTCTTTTTTTTTGCCATACCCTGTATGAGTGATACCATTATGGCGATCAAGCGAAGCCTCGAAAAAAAATCTTTTTTCACATGACAAGTAAATTTACGGTACTTAATGGAGTCAGTCTCAACAAAAGTCTGAAGGACGATTGAATATAATTTGAGAAGAAAGTCTCAGCCTGAGGTGCCCCGGAGAGACGATTGTCAACATCTTCAAGCAATGATTGCGAGTCGCAATGAGAAACAGAAACTGTTTCGGTATTGCGAAATCCGAGTAATTCAAGTAGCACACAAACCGACTGCTCGATAAACAAAACATGTACGAAAGCGAATGGCGGAAAAATCGCAAGAGAGGGCAACTAGAATTCTTTATCCCCGATTAAACGCAGTTGAGAAATATCGAGATTTTCGCTGTGAGGTTTCTAAAATTATCCTCGGTTTTCTTAGATTGTCGATCCCGTCGGTATGTAAACTCCACGAGTGGACACGCCATCGCTTGGAAACCCGGGGTCACGAACGATCACCCCATGAGTTCGTAGGGATCGCCTTGAGGTTGGCATGCGTCCCAGGATAAAGATAGCTCTCAGAAGTGCACGGGGCCACTTGTCGCACCGCGAATGTCCTTATCTACGATTTGGCCTTGATCTGCACAGATTGTACTTGAAGCGTCGATTTCCTTAAAGAGCAAACAACAGGTGCAGTGGTGCGACGGAATATGAGGTGGATAACACGTCTGTGTTTGTCCGCGTAGGACAGAGGAACATTTATCTATCGAACGTGCAGTGGCGTTTTATTTTAAGGAATGGCGGATTCTTCGGAAGAGGCGGAACTCCACGTGGACGGAAAAACAGTTGCCCAAATAATCGCCGAGTACTACGAGGATCTGAACTACATCGACCACGACGCGGTGCTGGCGCGTCTGCTGAAGAAACAAGTCATCACCCCCGTCGAGCATGTCGAGATCATCAAGACGTCTCAGAAGATGGAGAAAATCATATTCATTCAGGAAAAACTGCCGCAGAAAGGGGACACCGCCTTCCAGAAATTCTTGGAATCCCTCGGGGAGACGGGCCAAAAAAAACTGGCCTGGAAAATGCGACGTCGTGAGTTCTCCCATTTCGATGCCTGTTGCTCTGGTTTAGCGACCCTGGCGATCCTAGAGTCGCCTCATGCCCGAGAGAAAATATACCCCTTCATCCTTCATTATTTGAAGAGATGTTGCATCTGATCCCCAATCAAATGCTACGCAGAATCCCAGCTCGGAATCGAAAAGACTTCACTCGTAGAGGTGCAGTCTGACCGGCAGTTTAATCCAGAGGGGGATACAGAAAGTGTTATTATCATTTCCATCACGAGATTTCCATCAATTTTCTCAAAACCAGTATGATCCTTTTCTTATTAGAACGGCAAACTCATCCCCCTCTCATTCCATTATTTCGTTAATGCAGAGACGCAAGAAAGGATGTACAAAGTAGCAAACAAAAATTCGAGGTGCGCTTGAGGAAATGAAGCTGTACACGGTGAATTCAGTATTGTGAAGGTGATGGGGCAGTTCCCCTCTTCCACCCTCCGGCGTTACCTCACTAACAAGAACGGATAGGGCGAGACTGCAATCGAGGACAAAGGTTTCTTCGTGTGTTCAATACTTTGATGGATTTTCCCACAGAATCCATTGACCGATCAAAACGTGACGAGGTTCCCGGATACTTTCGCGAATCTTCAACCTCCAGTCTTTCTGATGATGCTTCGAAAGAGAGCTACGGAGGCTCGGTCAGGTGAGTCTTGTTTCCCACTTTGAAATGCAAGCCGGGCTGTTGCGACATTCAAGTACGTGCGCTTCCCGCAAAGCTCTTCACACTGATAACCCAAGGTTTAAATTAGCTCTATGATGACTTGCGACAGTACTCGTAGACGTGCGGTACTTGGTGCAGTCCAAGAAGGCTTCTCTGGCTTCCAAATAAGAGCAAGAGAAGCGCAGAATTGTCTTCTCTTTCTAGCTTTAGGATTCATGCAAAAGTTGCATCAAACACTTCATGAAGTTTCTTCCATTAACTGAAATGCATGTTTCTATTCCCGTGAAACAGCGTTGAAAGCATGTTTTGAGGTATTGTGTGGCTCACACCAGGTTCATTTTATCATGAGGCTGCTCCTCGAACATACATCTTCTTCCATTCAGTGGCTATTTCTCTTTTTGCAAGAGGAAGAAGTATCATCGAGCTAAATCTGGAGAATGTGACGGGTGAAACAGTGTCTGGAGTCTTGGCTCTTCTAAAAACGGTTTTGTTCTGATGGTTGAATTTGCCTGGTGCATGCCCTTGGCGAAGTGGGTTCCTTGTAATCCTAGCTTTGGTCGTTGTTCTGAGCTTCAAACATGGTTGGTATGCGAAAATCTGCATACGAGCCTCTAGTATGGCCCTTATCAAGACCGAAGGACTTCGATATGTCGTGTGGTGAAGTGGAAAAACATGTAATTTCAATTGGGTGATAAAAAGGTAGAACCAATATCTCCGCATTTCTTGACGCCATTCAGGCGTTTCGACCTCATGCAATCAAATTCTTTAGCATGAAGCAGTGAATTGCAAAATCGTTTAGTCCCTGGTCTTCAGTCAAGTGATGCATGATAAAAATCCTCTATACCTGCGTAATTCATCGCTGCAACTTTCTGACACGAGGCAACAATTTTTGCAATAGTCAACCTCTAGTAACTTGAAAAAAATGATTGGATTAAACAACAGTAAAACAGTAATTGATGCGTGTTTATGGCATCACTTTTACAATTTTTGGAACAACCCTCGTACTTATGGAAATTCTCACTCAATAAAATTAGGAATTGTTTCAGAAAAGTGCTGAAAACATAAACCATTTCACGTCCAACAACGGGAATTCGAAAAAAGTGTTCTTTACTGATACAAGAGCTGATCTCACCTTCTGAAATGCATGCATGTACTTTTCCTTTATAGGTCAGAGGTGCCAGAGGTGGATCATCCCAAGTCGGATAATACGGAGACAATGACCACTCCAAGTGCAGTCAAAGAGGTAAGAGAGCTGTGTCCCCGCATGGAAGCCTACGTTTTCGCCTGGAGTAGGAAACATCCTGCAAACGAAAAAAATAAGATTTCTAATTCTTATGGTAAAATTCTATTGGTTAAAAAGGAAACTGAGGACCCTGGCGAAGGTAAGTCCTTCCATTGAGGCTTATTTCTAATGTTCAACATAAACGTGCAGTCCTGCTCCACAGGTGTGCTTAGTTTTATTCATTTTTATGACTCATGGAAATGTATACGATATTCTTAATTCGTGTTCTTCTTTCTGAGGCTGTATTAAAAAATGAATATGGAATATCGATGGCCATGTTGCAGGCAATGGAGTCCATTTCATGGCTGAAACTTTGATTTTTTCCCTGCGGTCGAATTATTATTCATAATTCCTGCATTACGTTTCTCAGGGAACACGGATATTTGACAATTCAAGCAGCCCAAGCACAAAAAGTTCTCCAATAGCTTCCTATGTTTCCTCCAGTGCGATCTAGACGCCATTAGCTTCATTCGGTCTTTTCCTCTTACGATATGATATGACAGGAGGGTTAAGACTCTTCTTTTAGTAGCATCAGAGATTATTTAATGGTAGGTGCACTCTTATAGAAAATTAGGTCAAGATGTACCTCAAACATTCAAAGGAACTCAGCAATTCTCGAAAAGTGTCTTTCAGTACTGGCAGTATTAGCCCCGAATAAAGGTGCCACGAGAGTCAGCCTGCAGAAGGCCAGAAAGTCCATCGGCATTTCCAGCATTAAATTCGGTTAATTTGTTTTTCCTGGAATGTGGTGAAGCAGTTTATTTTGTGAGAATTTGCTTTTTGGTTCTTTGTGTACTTATTCAGTTATGGATGTTTATAAGAGGAGCATCCTCCCACTGAGAGAAATTAAGATATACATCAGTCATATAAATCCCTTCCTTGGATAAATATAGCTCGAATTTCGGCAAAAGTCCATTCAAATTCGGCAGCGGCCGTTTCAATTTCGACAATGCTCCTGTCTCTTTCCCGTTTTCCCTTTAATTTCGACAATGCTCCTCTATCCTCCCGAATTTTCCATTCAATTTCGGCAGGTAACTTTCAATTTCGGCAGCGCAAGGGAATCTCTTCTTTTGGGAATTAATGAGTCTGAGGATTAGGGGGAAGGGAAGGGCACAAACGCATTGGGTATTTTTTTGTGAATCATTATTTTACTATGCAAAGGAAAACACGTGGACATTGACACTGACTCTACCCATCCATAAGTTCTCTCCTTAGGCATCTGACAAGTATGTTTGTGTATGATAAAACTACGCAAAGCACTTCTGATGGGTGATTCGGGCATGTTTTGTCGGATTCAGGAATTTAAGGCGAATATGTCGGCAGAAATTTCACGTGAACGTTAGAAAAGTCATCTGGAACCAAGGCTCGTTTGTGGGGTTTAGCATTATCTGAGATGACATACTGGAACTAAATATTCGAAATCGGCTGCTCCTTGATCTGAGTCCTCCACATAGGAAGCGTTCATGATCGTTTCCATGCTTGGAAAAATCTTTTACTGCAAAGGAATAACAGGAACGCGTCACATCGTTGACGTTCCAGGAATACTTTGAGGAGCTCCAGAGACATATACACATAATTTCACCACCATATCAACCGGTTTATGTCATCATGGATAATGCTGGACCCCACAAACGAGCCTCGGTCCCAGATGAATAATGATCATTCGCCGAAAATACCCTCTGCGTTTGTGCCCTTTCCTTCCCTATACCTCATAACAATGCTGATTACCAGAAATAACATATTCCCTTGCACTGCCGAAATTGAAATGACGAATGCCGAAATCGAAAGTCACCTGCCGAAATTGAATGGAAAATTCGGGAGGATAGAGGAGCACTGTCGAAATTACCCACAATTTCTGCCTTCTTGATTTTATATAGTTAAAAATGGGGACATTACATTCACTGAGTTGTTGATCATGGATTTATTGCCATGATCGCTTTGTCTTGAGAAAACGATGTCATTCTTCCGGAAACAGCGACTTTGAGTTTAGTGTGTAAAAAAATTACTTAGTTATCCTTCAGCAGATCATCTCATGGCACGAGTAGCAACAAGAGGTTAGTTACAGCTGTCTCTGAAGATCTGCCTGATAGTCACTACCGAGCCCATAATGGAAATCAAGGTGAGAGAGCAGAGTTTTGTTTCCAGTGGATTCGTTAATGTTTCATCACAATATCCACTACTTTTGCTTAAAGTAGAACCTATTTTTGCCAGGTTTCAACCAGTTCATAAGCATCGCAAACCATTGAACAAAATTTTCACTGGCTGGGAAGTTGAAGTCATGAGAACTAGCAAGTAGGAGAAAGAGAGGGCCATGATATGATCTATGCCTTTAGGAAAGGAAGAATCAGTTAAGCACGACAATAAAGCTATTCTTTCTAGATATTATTATGAGATCAATCTATGTTCTAAAATTTCCCTGATCGCAGAGCACAAGCCATGCGGACTTAATGCCCATTCAGAATTCCTTAGCATTCATTTATTCACATCCAGCTGGTGGACGAGGTGCCAGAAGAACTGATTCAAGAAATGATGAAGGTACAGGCTACAGAGAAGGGACTGAAAGCGCAGGTTGGGGCTGTTGGGACAAAGCTAAGAAAAGAATCCAAGAAAGAGTCTGTGCATCAAGAGATGGAAGGGGATTACCGCGTGATCGAAGAAGAGCTCAGTGAGAGCAGAGATGAGGTCTCTTATTCTTTCTTATTCCTTTTTATAGGTTTTTATATTTTATTTCTTGGTCCCAGGTGAGAAAATGACATGTGCTTCCAGGTAGGAAAGCTGCAGCTGTTGAAAATATTGACCATGGAGAAGAAAGCAAAAGACCTCGAGGAGCAGCTCAAGAGTAAGCAGAATGTACACGTATATGGAGAGAAGAACTGCACCATTGAGAGGCAGTTCCAGGAGAGAAGTAATCAGGTCTCACATTATATTCAAATCACAATTGCTATAATCTCTTGTTGTAGTGCCTCGAAGGTACGAGATTCGGTTCTGATAGGTTGCTGAGTTGCGCCGACAGTTGGACATTCTGGAGGGGAAGTCCGTACAGGTCGGTGCAGGGAACATTGATACAGCCATCCCAACTCAAGATGAAGCAGTCTTTCAGCAATCACAGATGACTCAGGTATTCATGATTTAGATATCCTCCAAAATATACTTAACCTAAGTTTGCATGATAGGTTGGTGTGCCCCCATCACCCAAAAAAAAAAAAAAAATATATATATATATGTTTAGGTTTGGCTAAGGGCCAAGCGCTAAACCGCTTGGGAAGTGTTTATTATGGAAAGACTGCAATCTCGGGCTTGCATAATACCACCTATGCACAAATAGCTCAGAAGCACGCCACTGCGTTTATGTCACCGATGTGTAAAGCCCCGCCTGTTGCTGAAGAGATGATGTGAACACAAGTAATCGCTTCCCTAGCTGTCTTCATATGCACATACGTACTCCCGAGATTTTCTTCATTTTCTCGAAAACAGATTGAACAACACGGGCGTGCTCATGGGCACACATAAGGACGCTTTGCCTGAATTACGAATCTGAAATAGAAATGGTATAGGCAGCTCATAACATCATGAAATTGTAGGCCTTTTTTTGCTGTAGCTTGATGTCATTAAATATGCAAAAACAATGCATAATAGATTGGTATGGATTTTTGTCAATACTTCCCCTCTGGTATTTTATTTCTTCTCTCAGGTGAAACTGAAATGCCGAACTAAGATCACCACATGGAATGAACTGATCGCCTTCATTGGTGAGAACCAGCAGAACAGCCTCATCATCATTCATGTCTATTCGCACAAAAGCAAGAAGAAAATTGAAGCGGAAGATGTCAAGAGAAAAATTGTTGAAAGAATTAGTCATGCGATCTTCCTGGAAGCCGACTTGCATGCGGACTGGATAAAGGACTTCTTCTGGAATTACAATGAGAGGAAAAGGAGTGATTATTGGATTATTGTGATGTCACAAACACCAGCGGATTTGTGGACCATTTGCGACCTTACTTCCAAATGGGGTTGCATCTCAGTGGGGCATCCCCATTCCAAATTTGTTGGGGGTTGCATTGGTATCCCCATAGGGAAAAAATGGCACTGATGGGCGAACCTTGAAGTGGTGAAAAATTGATTCCCCTGACTAGAAGAATAAAATGAAGTAATGAGGAGAAATTTCAATATTTTATATTCTATAAGCAAATGCATGAATAGGTTTGGGTAGCGCCTATTACCTTTCTTGAACCCCTTCCCGTAACAAAATTCCACCTCCTTGTATTCCTCTCTGAGAGAATTAACAGGAAGGAAATTGGGCATCCTTCTTCCTTTCCCAGCACAGAATCCCTCCAGCAAATTTGAAGCTCCATCTCGCTTTTGGAAGATGTGAATTTCTTTCCGCTTTTTTTTTTCTCCCCCCCTTGGGAAGCCACTTGGGAGTTTTCGATGGAAAGAGACCAACCATTAGAAAGATTTTGACTCGTAGATGATGAAACACCTGACCATTTTGTTGTTTGTGAAGCACCATTTGCCTCCTGACTCCAGAGATTGTCTCCAGAAGAAAGAGAGCGAGTCTCTTCGATTTGTGACACCGCTCTATTCTGTTCTGTAGATTATTACGTTAATATAGAAATGTGAAACCCAACTTTCAATGGCTTCCCCCTTCAACTGCTTCACAAATAGGACGTTTTTATTTATTTTTAAGTATCTCCAACCATTTTTTATAGTGCCTCAAATATTCCAGTACATGAAATCTTAAATGATTTCGACCGTATTGCAGAAAATCTCAAGTAGTAGTTCAATCGCAAAAACTTAAAAAAAAATTGAAGCATGAAAAATTTCAGTGAAGAAACTGGTTCTTCATGCTTCTTACCCATTGTTTTCACAGTCACTTTAATAAAGGAGTAACATGATAATATAAAAAGGCATCCTGAACCTACAGTTATTGTCCTGTCACGAATCACGACATTCGATGGCTTTTCGCCGACGCGCAGATAAGCCGTAGTTGGGACATCATTACTATATGGTTGGCTCACGGTTGGTTTAAGCCGGCTTATAGTCCAGCATGTCCTGTTGGCCCTTTATTGGGCCAACTTTGGCTCATTGTTGGGAAACTGCACATGCCCCAACCATTGGCCGACTTTTCCCAATAATGAAAAGGTATTGGAAAAAAGCCAAGAAAAAAATTGCATCTACAGCTTCATGTATCTTGGAGTGGTGAGATTGCACCTTTTGATCTCTTAATGCTCCTTCATCTGGTAGAGATGAAGGAGCAAGGCTTTATCTGAGTACCTTACACAGGTACACTCCTACCGCCAAGAACATCCCAAACAGCATCCAGGAGCTGCATCACAATGGAACGCAAGAGTATGTCCTCTCACAGGAGGTTAGACACACCTTACACATAATTGAACAAGGAAGATAATACCCGTAAACGAAGATAATATACTCGCCTGGCCGATTGTGGAAAGGAGAAGGATACTCCCACGGACCCTCGGCCGGAATTTCCTGGTTTATTCCAGAGCAAGATTACATCTTCGGAGAAACGTTAAAAAGAATTCGATTGTCTTCCTCTGAGATCTATGCGAAAAACCATAGGGGACCGAGTCGAAGGGACAGGGGACTCATCTCAGTAGTATCCGGGATGTGACTCCCCATTACGACCACTTTGGTCATATCTCACGCCGTTTTTCGGAACCTTCTCGGCCA